ATACATACATACATACATACATATACATATATATATGTATATTTATATATATATATATATATATATTTATATCACAATCAGTCTCACACCACAAGTCATACCTATGATTCACTTTCGTGTACTACAGGCGAGGTGATACTATACAAGCTGGACCTGGACAACGTCTCGCACGTGTTCCCAATGCTGCAGTTCCAGGCACACCACGGTACGGTCAATGCCGTAGCACTCACAGACAACGGTGAGATCATGGTGTCGTGTGGGGTAGACAAGCAGCTGTGTGCCTGGAGTGTGGAAGATGGGGCTCTGCTGTTCACAGCCTCGCTGGGATGTGTGTACACGTAAGTTTCAGAGTGCTGTAAGGATATCTGTTGTGGTCTCTCGCTTGCTGTTGCTAGACTATGGACTCTGGAGAGATACTACGGATACCACATCGACACTAATCGACAATTAATTCATCAATTCTATCGCAGTTGCCTGACCCTCAGTGGGGGGCTCATTTGTGGTACAGATAGCACATTAACACTAATCGACAATTAATTCTTCAATTCTATTGTACTTGCCTGACCCTCAGCGGGCTCATTGTCCTGTGTGGTACGGATAGCACATTAACACTTAATCGACAATTAATTCATTAATTCTATCGCAGTTGCCTGACCCTCAGTGGGCTCATTGTCCAGTGTGGTACGGATAGCACATCAACACTAATCGACAATTAATTCATCAATTTTATTGCAGTTGCCTGACCCTCAGTGGGCTCATTGTCCTGTGTGGTACGGATAGCACATCAACACTAATCGACAATTAATTCATCAATTCAATTGCAGCTGCCTGACCCTAGTGGGCTCATTGTGCTGTGTGGTACGGATAGCACATCAACACTAGTCGACAATTAATACATCAATTCTATCGCAGTTGCCTGACCCTCAATGGGCCCATTGCCCTGTGTGGTACGGATAGCACATCAACAATAATTGACAATTAATTCCTCAATTCTATTGCAGTTGCCTGACCCTCAGTGGGCTCATTGTCCTGTGTGGTACGGATAGTGGCTATTTACATGCGTGGGATATTGCTGCTCACGCCCGGTTGTTCGTGGTTCAGGTCCATCCAGGTATGGAACCATAGGAAAAATAATTTTTATCTCAATTTGGATAAAGTTTTGTATAAAATTATTTATTTCAATTTGGATAAAGTTTTGTATAATATTATTTTATTTCAGTTTGGATAAAGTTTTATATGTCTACATGTACATCAGGACCGTCACAGTGTGGGTTGTTTTCAGTCTTACAAATGAGCATGCTTGGTTGTCTTATACCTGCGTGACGTGATTTTCGGATACCTGACCTGGCCCTGTGTCACTGACAGTTCCTTTACGCCCTTTCGGTTCACCCAGACCCACTTAGCAGCTTGACGATATCGGAATGTGGGACGCAGATAGTGTGTGCGGTATCGTCAGGCGACATAGCAATCATTAAAATTAAATAGTGAGGATCCAGTAACTACTGACAGCAACCTGTGACAACTCAACGAGTTTAACAACTCAAGATGGATGTATTGGACAGCGCAAGATCGGACTATAGCTGATGTCTCAGTGAGAACAGTATTCCAAGGAACACCACACGGTGACCATGCGTGTGTGACACGTGCGTGATGATGTTTACTCATCGGAAGAAGCAGGTGGACAGAGCTATAGCAAGGGCGGGGTAGATGCACGTGTTGGGAACACCGTGTAGTTGTGAGTAGACAGGGTTTCTGATTTCTTCCCATGCATATACACATGCGTACCTCCCCCATATGGTGCAGCTGACCAGATTTGCCTCAGAGGGTTGTGGGCCTGGGCTCACGTTGTACTCATGCAGTGGCCAGTAGGCTGCGCATATGTACGAAATAATCGGTTCACTTTCGAACCCGAATTCATTGACCGTGGATGAGAAAAGCTCCGGCCGGGAATTGAGTAGTGAATCTAGATACGATGCTACACATCTCCTTCTGTAGATACATAGGCACAAGAAGGCAACCACGCACACCCAGAACCGTACATTATGTATCCACACATACTTCACATAGGGCTATGCATAACTCAGCGCGGAGCAAGGATCGAGTGCCTTGGCATTGATATACATTGCCACAGCTGAGGTCGCGGGCGAGTCGGAGTCCATGGTCGTTAACACGGAACGTGGGAGGATTTGGGAACGGGATGCCAAGGAAGGGCGACGATGAATTCAATAGGAGAAGGTGTGGCCCTCTGGAAGTCTTGTCTCGGGGGATAGCGAATTGAATTGAATTGAATTGAGTTGAGTTGAATTGATTTGAATTGAATTGAAATAAATGAAATGTCTTGCGATGGGACGTGTTTCGCCCTGAACACCGGGGAGGCCTTCGGGGGGTCATGGAGAAGGTGCAGAGGTGTGTTGGGAATTAAGTATATCTATATGCACCGCATGGCGTCGTGTCATCTTACGCGTACGAAGGCGAGACGTACATTGCTAGTGTTGGCAAATGAGAGGGGTATCTGTGACTACGATACCTTGAGGGGGGTATCTGTGCCTACGATACCTTGAGGGGGGTATCTGGACTACGATACCTTTAGAGGGGTATCTGTGACTACGATACCTTGAGGGGGGATCTGTGACTACGATACCTTGAGGGGGGTATCTGTGACTACGATACCTTGAGGGGGTAATCTGTGACTACGATACCTTGAGAGGAGTATCTGTGACTACGAAAGGTATCGTGAAGGGATGGGAGCGGGCCCAGACCTGCGGCTCGACGACACACGCGCGAGCCACATTTTAACGCAATGATGTCAAGGTTACAAGGATTCGAGGCCCTTTTCAGTCGGTACAAACCAATGCATGGACTGTTCTATAGGTAAATCAAGCACAGAGCGTAGTATGAAAATGGATGAGAGATAGATGAACACATGAATCCCAAAGCAGTCCAAGGAGCCAGCAGCAGACAGGCCAGCTTCGGATTGCTGATGTTTTATATGACCTATTAAATTCACAGATGTAGGCACCTCAACAAACATCATCGTTCCCCAATTCGCTGGAAATAATCATCCGAACAAAAATAAATAAAAGAACGTCATTATAGTAGTTTCCTTTACTTCTCAGACTCGCTATTTAAACACGGGTCTATGTCTTCCCGAGTGTAGGTTAATGCTTAACGTTAGTCGTCCATCTCCAGCCACTGAGTGACCTTGAGCCAGATCGCCTCACGGGCAGCCTTTACGTAGACAGAGTCGGTTGGCTTGGAGGGATGCGTCTGTGTCGAGTAAACAAAGCGTATGGACTTCAGTAAGTATTGAGAAATAGTGTGCTTAGCTGTCGTTTGCAGTGTGCAGTTCTACAGAGTAACGGGTTTCACACAACAAGAAAGATCAAGAAACGAAATCTACGGTGACAGGTTGACAGAGCACTGTCTATGTCACAGCAAGGTTGGTAGCGCTGGTTCATTTGCCGCTGCCAGCAGAACCGTTGTTCTAAGTAAGTGCTATCGTGCGGGCGATACATACCCATGCATGGTGACTCGCCCCTTTGACCCACAGCTGTAAGTGAGAGTGAGAGCAAACAGGGGAGTGGATTAGATGCCCAGTCCAACCACAGAGAAAATATGGTGTGGAACCATACCATGGAGAAAATTAGATTGTGAAGCCATACAATAGAAAAAAATAAAGTAAAGCCACCCCATAATGAAGGTGTAATGGATGGGAGGCACTACCACAACCGCCTTGGACGCTGGGCAACTACAGCACAAGATTCAGCTATTTGCAAAAGGACGCTGCCCGGACGTAACTCGAACAGGAGCCCTAGCACTACTCTAAATATAAATGTCGCACCCAATCATGCAACGCTGGCGTAGTTTTATCGCACTAGTACAAAACACAGCAATCACGTTTCTGTACACAATCCGTACCCTAGCCTCTCTGTCACTGTTTCACTGTATCACTGTTACTGTCACTGGAGCAGGGGCAGCACACTATTGACTAATCAAGGATCAATGCATACGACACTATTGACCATCCAAGCATTGCTGCTTCCCGCGAGAAACAAGATCCACAATCCCAAAACACAAACAGATTGCATACGGTAGAACACACTTTACGGATGCAGGGTCAAATAGCCTCAGCAGAGTCTCGTGTATCTGTACGGCTTGCCAATCACAAGTTGATCTGATTCGATACGATGACACAAACCCTTGATCGACGCTCAGACGATTGATTGAACACTTAATAAAAAACAGGACTCGATTGCACCCGAATAAGATATGCAACCCTTACCGTCGCCTCTCGCACACTGGGAGTGTACAACACACTGTTGGCCATCCAGGGATCAATGCTGCCGGAGGGGAACATGATACGAGAGCCCTGGATACGGTCACCGCCGTAGAAGTCGTTGGTGAGATCGACATTCTCGCGCACTTCGGCAGGGCTGATGTTGAACAGCTGTTGACACTGGTCCGTGAAGGTCTTGATGGTGTGCAGGCCCTGGGTGAAGGGGCAGTCAGTGTTTTTCTCACAGGTTTGGAAGAAGCCGACTTCGGTGCAAACCTGGGGTTTTTTTTGGCGAATACAGGCGTAAATAAACCAAACCAAAGGCATGTCATGAGTACGTGAGTCGATTAGTACACCAGCTGTACGTACACATTCTATCGCAGATACTTGAGTTTAGAATTTGGGTGCGTACGCAGACCTTGCCCTGAGTGCTGGTACGAAAGTACCACACTCCAGTCAAACGAAAGGCGCTGTGGTTAGTATATGCGGTAGCGCTCTCCAACAGGCTTTGCCTTCACAAGTCGCCTGCCGAGCCAGTGATGGCCCTGAACAATGAACTGGCTAATGCTAAGCTACACAGGCATTGGTCAAGGCACACTGCGAAAGCTAAGCCACACAGGCTTTAAACAATGAAGTGGATACCTACCTGGAACTGCCACATGCGGTCGTTCTGTTCGCCGTCACTGCCATCCTCAACACCGACAACCATAAGGGATGGTGTCACGGCGTTGGGACTGACATCTTGACATGTGTCAATGGTGTGCCCGGGGTATCGCAGAGCCAGTGACAGTTGTGTGACCTTCTCTCGATGGCTCGCCGACCTGCCAATGAGAAGCATCAGCGTTAGCATATACGTTTAACTCGATCATCAAGTACGGGGTCCCTATCCGGGGTTCATCTGCAACTACACACCTACACTAGCTTGTTATAGAGCTAAATAGCTAAACGAGGAATCAGATACGTTCATCTCGAGACTCGAATCTGCATCGCACTACGAATGGGCTGAACACCATCGTGAAACGACGCACAGCTCTTAGCAAGTGCCGTTCTCCTTCTCATTCGCAGTCGCTGCACACCCTCGACTACTCAAACAACAACTCATACCGCACATCCAAGCACGAGAATGCAAGTATCACCGATACCCCACAAAGCACCTGCGCCTTACTTTGTCTTGTCGTCTCTCTTTCAAACAGCAACTCATACCACACATCCAAGCACGAGAATGCAAGTATCAACGATACCCCACAAAGCACCTGCGCCTTACTTTGTCTTGTCGTCTCTTTCAAACAGCAACTCATACCACACATCCAAGCACGAGAATGCAACTAACAAAGATACCCCACAGAGCACCTGCGCCTTACTTTCTCTTGTCGTCTCTGAGGAATCCACAGATCTTTTCGATGTTGCACAGTTCCTTCTCACACGCGGGATCGTTTCCTTGCCAGTCGAATGAGAACACTCCCGTGCCGGCGAACGTGCGCTGCGCCTGAGGTTCCTTGAGAGCGTCGGCTCCTGTAATCCGACAAAAGTCGTACAAATTCACCTTGTCAGATATGTAAATGGCACTAATTTACGTTGTCAAATATGTAAATGGCACTAATTTACAATGTCAAATACGTAGACGGTACTGTGAGCCGAGGAGTTGTCACAGTGAATACTATGGGCATGTGCAGAGAGAGAGTGAGGGAGCAGTTCCGTAGTTGTACCATCCGCCAGAGACTGACCGCGACGCAAAGACTACCGACAGGTGAAAACCATATCATAGGAAGCTTCAATGAAGTGTGCCACGACACCTGACTAAAACCCTAAACCTTGAGACAAACTCACACTACACCAGGCAGACAAGTACACACATACACACACCTCCACACAGATGGAAGGATTCGATTAATTCGGCCTGGCCGTCCTTGGACTCAAGCAGCTCTCCAATCTCCGCATGAGCTGCACTAATGATAGTACGACACTCGTCCGACCCTCCGACCAACGGCTCGGCTATGGCTTGTCCAACAACGTTGTAGTAGCCCTGGAAGTCGTATTCTGGAGAGTAGCAAAGGTTGAAAGACCATTGTTGTAGTAATTTGGGAAGTCGGTATCTGAAAGTGACAAATATTGGTAAGCTGGCATTGAAGAAATCGGATACACATCAATGAATAGTCTTGATGATCATGTTCCGAAAGCTGGAGACAATAGTTACAACCGCGTTGATTGGCCAAGGATACAATCAAAGTTATAAGACCCACACAAAAACAGACCACGATATCACACACATTTGAACTGCCATTACAGGCCACTACACCAAACATGTCTCTGTCACACATACATACAAAAACTTCAATGCGCGAATAAACGCACGCACACACACCCTCGAACAAACCAACAAACCCTTCTCACAGGCACGACATACCGGCTCGCACAGGGGCACTGGATGCGATAGAGGCATGGAACTGGTGGGGGTATTTCAGACGGGCCCATGCGGCTAACATGCCAGGGTACGACCCACCCCAGGTCACCCACTTGTTCTTGCTGGACAAGCGGAACCTGAGTATAAGAAGAGATACGAGTGTTACATTATTTAGGTTATTGTTTCTATTGTACGGTGGGGGATAGAGGTGGACATGGTTGGGTAGGCGCCACACTACATAACCCGACTTATATATATATATATATATATATATATATATATATATATATATATATATATATATATATATATGTGTGTGTGTGTGTGTATGTGTGTGTGTGTGTATGTACGTATATAACATGGACATATATGCATATATATATATATATATATATATATAATTAGATACATTTATATACATGGTGATCCAAATTAATAACTTACCGCTTCACAATGTGGGTGTGGAAGGCAGACAAATCTGCCAGAGCTTGCTTTGAGGAGAGGTAGCGGAGGTCCTCGGTTTCGAAAGACTTGGTAGGCGAGCTTTTACCGTAGTATCTGTCAGGGCAAATCAAAGTTACAGATGTTATGCTGTGCATTCGACACTGATCATGCCAAAATACTCTTTCAACTGATGAGATACACAATATATACATGGGCCGAGAGCCTTGTGAGAGCTACGTAGCTGCATTGCATCCGGCGTGTTGAACATGCCCGTACGTACCACCTAAGTGTGTCTTTACAACCAGTCAATCGATACCAACATAATCCAACATAGACTATGTGACTATAATCCATTGAACTCAGAAGACTCAGAACGATGCCATACGCATAGCGTATATACCGGCACATCCGATGACCACGCGGAACTGCCCAGTCAGCAACAGCTACAACATATATAAGACTAATCACATGCCTTGTGTCTACGCTGCAAGTATCACTCTCCCACACACACCTGTGTTCAATGGACACCATCAGACCGCCCACCTTAGGCATGAGCTCGACGGCATCGTTGCAGTGCACGCTATTCTTGACACTCTTAGACGTTAGCGAGGGCCCCTCTCCACCCACACACAGGAATATAGGCCCATCCGAGCCTGCCTTGAAGTAGGTCTCGTTCACAAAGTACCTCTGCGCGAAGATGCGGCGATCGAGATTGTCGAAGTGGTTCACACGCTGTTGGACCCTGTATCGCGCGTGGGTTGGGATTGCGACAATACTTACTTATTTGTGGTATGGTTATGGTATTCACTGATAAAAATTGATTCCTATTTAGGAAGCTATGGTATCCACTGATAAAGATTGTTTCCTATTTAGGAAGTCTATTGCAGCTAGTCGACGATCGCATTTGAATTTGTCGAACCGGCTTACACTCTTTCAACCACAACATCGTGAGTACTTTTCGCTCACGACATGTAATTGGTGTAGCAAGATGTTGTCTACTACAGCCAATACAAGCATATTGAACACTGACGTTGTAATACATTGGGATTGTATTTGTAATACTAATCCAGCGGTCTTTCGAGATTAAAGACATATTTAAACACTTGTCCTTTTTTGCATACATGCATAACAAGGAGTCTATGACATGACAGGCAACCGAAGAGAACCTTAGTACTGGCCGTCTGAATTTCCGATTCCCGCGTTTGTCATACACAATTAGCCATATACACACAGGAAGCTCCGTATCAAGTGAACCAACCTAGTCTACAGATTACATATATCAGTTACACCAGGCTCGGCAATCTAGGAGAAGGGTTTCGTAAAACCCTAAAACTATCAGATGAAATGTGACAGCGGCACGTAGTATTGTTTGCCAATGATAGCTATCTTTGCCAACGATATGAAACCTAATTGGACGGTGCTGCATACGCAGACACTCACAGACATGTAGTGAGCGATGACAATCGATTTATGATAAAGCCAGAACAATTATCGGAACACTTTGAGATTACATAGCTGGAGGCGTTAATACACTGGATTGGTGTATAAGAGATATCATTTATACTGTGCCACTTCTTGCAATAGGGAACAAGTTACAAGACCGGCTTGCGTATTGACATCGGCCTTGCACATCAACATATACATGTATAATCGATAGGAATGAAATGCGACAATTGCCATATACGTGTATGCACCTACTCGATACTGTGAATAAATGCATTCCAAACACGCGATAATCAACAAAGGAAAGCCATTATTCCTTACTGGACTACACCGGCGCTTAAGGTGAGCCCATGAGAACAACCTGTACTATATGTTAGCATATATATATACACAAGCACGCACACAAAAAGCCAGCAGGCTAATGTGTGTAAGTTTTGACCCAAGAAACAACTAGACTATACTTTAAAAAAACATGATATCCATTGATGCCCACTCACTGGTGCTCCGTGAACTTACGTTTCTTATTTAACTACTTCCTAACATACAAACACACAAACACGCACGCCACACACCAACAATATATGACACTGTTCATGCAAAAAAAAACAATTAAGATACATCTCGGATGTACTTGATATAAAAGTTAATGTACTTAGCATTTTTTTAGTGAACATAATATTCGACGTTCCACATACCATTGCTCCGTGAAATCGTCTTTCACATCGTTGCTTCCCTTGGACAACACAAGCTCAGCAAAGGCCGTCTCACCTTCTGCAATGACGCTGAAAAGAGGGTTGGCTCTAACTGCAGCAGCTGCCAGTAGAATCTGTAACACCACTGAAGACAACATGCTTTAGTACTGGACGAACAAACAAGGATTTATAGTGTTGTGAAGTCCTCTCCAGTAGGAAAGCTATGTATTTAACTATATTCACTTTATATGCTCATAGAGATATGTATTCATATTAGACTTTCTTTTGGATCTATATAGACTATATAGATACAATCACTTTAGCATTCTTTCTTAAACGTACAGTAAACGTTCTAACGTGAACGCGGAAATGATTTTTTACGTTTAACGTAAATAAATTAACAGCTCACTCATAAGTCATAGCCTTCTAAACTGAACAGCTCACTCGAGAATGACAGTAATGATACAATTGTACGTTTAACTTTAACGCGAAGACGATTGATTTCAAACCGTTTTAACAAGACGGATGTCACAATGTGTCATCGGCATTCGGCTCGAGAATCGGAGGGTTAAATAAATCCATATCATTGGTCTACACAGTGGTGTCAGCATGTCAGTTATAAGACTGATGACATTGATGTCACTATTCACACCCAAACTTCTGGACTGTCCGCATTCTGCAGTCATAGATTTCTGAAGAATATGTATGATTCCAAGCAACGCTCCCAATTCTAATACTGTGTATATGAGCTAGAGCTACCCCAAGCAGATGCAGATTCACAATTAACTACTCAACACTTTATATAATTGGACTTCGAACCCGTCGACAACATCACCAATATGTAACTTTGGCCTTACTTACAAGCATCGCGGTGTAGTCATAAAGTATGAAGGCATCGATTTTGTCCTGTCGACATATGGTTTCGAGAGTGATGACTCGGTGGAATTCAAGTTTCAGGGCGACGTAGTCACGCACACAATTATTGATGTCTCAAATCTACAGATACCGTCTTGAAGTCGGGACTTGAATTTCAGGTATATCATACTTCATACATCTATCGTATTGTTCCTGTTGTGTGATAAGTATATTCATTTCCGTGAATGTGCACAGTATCCTCCACCGTCCCAATACAAGCACGAATTTTTAGCAAGGGGCCAATGCCTCCTCGCTTTGTTTATCTTTATGCACGTTTCTGCATCAAGGGATTTTGGCTATCACCGCAAGGGTTTACCAGATGTCAGGATATATTTTCCTACATATTGGATTTCTATTTTTCGTCGAAAGCAACTCAATTGGTCTAAAAACAAATAAAGAGTTGGGACAAGTTTTGCGTGGCGACCTGTATGTCTGGATCTGATAGCTTATCGAAAGTCACACGCCGGGTTTATAAATTTACAGAATAGAAACATAGAATGTTTCGTTGCTTGTTTTGCATTATACAGCAGGCTGTATGTTCAGAATACATATATTCTGTCAAACACGGTTTTCAAGGTTACAGAACAAAGGTTCTGGTCACCGGGGTGAAAGCGCGAGTTGCCAGTGTGTGTGTCATGCTGACCAGCTCAGATATTTGGGTATATCAACAAAACGTGGATGATCTGAAGCTGTCACTATTTCGCCTGCAGACTAGAATGCTGCAGTACATACACAGCATTAATAGACACATTTGTCCACATCGCTCATCGAGTTCATCAGGTAGATAGTGTCGCTTGATTGTATGATTAGATCAAGGACTATCAAGATGCCATTCTACTGTATTGGATTGATATCCGATTATCGTGCATACTTTAATGTAGTGAGGTTCGTGCACTTCTTCTAAAGGGAAATAAACTGCTGCGTATAATAGTACTTGAGTCCGCTATATATCAGAAACCCACTTGGTCCAAACAAAAGGGTAGACAATAGACAAGGAATGACCAGAAAGTACGGTATCGTAGTGCCCAGGGCGTCTCTCGAGATCATTGCTCCCACAGCGAGGTCAAAGCATAAGTAGTGTGTCCAGCATCCATTAAGTACCCATGCGTCGCCCCGTTGAAAGATGTTCATCACCCCACGAAGAGATGTGAAGCCTGAGAGAAGGCCGCGTAGACAAAGCGAGCGAGCATGAGCTTAGAAAAGCTACAGGATAGACAATAGTTCGCGATATGCGCGTACACACGGTGGCGTGTCTAATTTTCAGTGTGCGTAGAGTGTATAGCGTGAGACATGCGACCAGTAGAATCTGAGTCGAGGACTGCAGTATAACTCACGAGACGTGCGAACTTCAAACTATTTTCACGACTATAGCAGCTGAATAATCAGTGTCAGAGACTGATCAGTTGTAAATGAGAAGTAAAAACTCATTTCTGCTACAAATCTGAAAAGGGATACTTGACAGAGGAACATTGAATTTCAATTACTATACAAGCATGCCTAGTGAGGGAGGTAGCACATTCACTTGGAAAACAAGGTTAGGTATCGATTAAGTAACATTCGGGACTTGTCCACATTACGATACAAGTCAGTATACGAAAATATGCATTCATACTTTATCTAAATAAAAGACGTCATACGCGTACGCATACGCTTATGCAAGTACAAAATATTTCTAAACACAGGTGATATATATATATATATATTTATATATATATATATATATATATATATATATATATATATATATATATATATATATATATATATATATATATATATATAGTATATATATATATATATATATATATATATATATATAGTAT